CAGCACTGAGAGCCACAGAACCCGGAGCAGGGTAGGCAAGGGAGGCAACCCCAAACTGAGTCTCCCGAACGAGGGGGTGAAGGCACACTGGCGAGTCAGTGCAGCGTGGCGCCCACCGGCCACGCGCGGGGACCCCAAGTCTCCCGGAGAACGGGAGAGGACCGACCCGGGGCAGCCCAGGCCGCCCAGAGGAAGACGCCAACGCGGGCGTGGGAAAGAGTGCGAAGGCGCTGACGGGGGCCACCGGCCGAGGTTCCCGACACGGTGGGGAGAGAGCGCGCGGGCAGGTGGGAGCGGAGCGAGGCCGACCCAGGAGCGCTCGGCAGGTGTGGGGAGCCGCCCCCACCCCCGCCCAACTTTCGGAGAGCGTGGAGGATCCGCGCGGGTGGGGGCCAGCCGCTGAGTCAGGGATCCCGCGCCCGCAGAGACCCGGCAGCGCGGGGGGCGGGGCTTCGGGCAGGTGGGCGGGGTAAGGGGGCGGGGCATGCGTCTGACGCGCCCGTAGGCCGCGGCGGCCGGCGGCCGGGCGGGGCGGCGGCAACGGTGGCGGCCGCGGGGGAGGGGCGCGGCGTCAGCGCGTCGCCGGCTGGGCCGCGCCGGTGGCCAGGAGGGAGAGACCAAGAGGAGGAGGAGGAGGAGGAGGAGGAGGTGAGTAGGCTCCGGGCTGGGAGCTGCGCGGGCCGCGGGGAGGCGGGGAGCGCGGCCCCTCCCCTCCCCTCCCCGCCCGGCGCCCGCCTCGCGGGGCTGCGCGGCGCGGAGTTCCCAGTGGGGCAGCGGCAGCGGCCGCGCGAGGAGCGGGGGTGGGCGGGAAGGCGGAGCTGAGGGCCGCGCTGCCCGGGCGCACGCTTCCCGGGCGCACGCGCTGCGCTCCCGGCGCCGCCCCGCGCTCGGAGCTCTGTGTCGCGGCCTGTGGCCTGTTTACTCGTCGCCACACGGGCCATGTGCACATGTCATTTTCTCAGTGTCCACACGTTGTGCCTGCGGGCTTCCCGCGGCCGCGGGTGTCGGAGCGCCGCGCTCCCTCCTCGCCAGGCCTGGGGTGGCGGGCGCGGGCGAGGGCGCGGCTCCCGGGCGCGGAGCGCGGCCTGCGCGGGCCCCAGGGCCGCCTCGCTCCCGCCAGCCGTGGGCCTGTGGCCCTCCGCGAGAGGCTCCTCGAGCCTTCCATCCAGAAGGAGACTCGGCGCTGGGCCCCCCTGTCAGGCTCCCTGTGTGGATCACCGGTCACTCCACTTCCCCCGTGTCATCAGAGACTCAAGACCCGCCCATTCCTGTCCCTCGTACCGATTTCTATTGGGATCCTGACGGTCTCACCGCCCTAGTGAAGGGTTCTCTGAATTCAGATCGTGTCCACCCAATCGTGTGCCCAACAGCAAAGTTGCAGCCATACATTAATCTTTAGTCCGGAGGTAATTTTTTTTTTACCTCCCCCCCCCCCCCCCCCGCCTGCCACTGGCGAGTACAACTTAGAGTCTTCTCAGAACTCTGTTGCATTAGATGATCTCCGAGATAATTCTTAAGTCAGTGGCTTGAGGCCCTTTGATGGGAAGTTCAGAGAAGGCTTTACGTTTTTTCCCCCTCCAGCCGTATCGGGGGTTGAAGTGGAAAAACGTGGGTTGAAGGTGACTTTCCAGACGAAGTGGGTTTCAGTTTGTGGCCCCCATGTGCTTATTCGGTGCCACCCGCAAGACTGATCTTAAAGCTTAATATAGTGGACAGGTAAAGGAATTGCTGAAAAGAAGGGCAGGATAATTCAATAGAGCCATTTTATTGAATTCTATTAACCTATTTAACCCTAAGCTTTAACCACGACAGGAGTTTCATGTAGGCACCCACATACCAAATGCAATATTGAATTTTAATTAGTGCATTCCAGGTCTGATGTGGACTAGCTTCTCAGCTTCTATTCGCTTTTATTATACATTTCCTTAGGGTCCTGTACTGTATTTAATGAAACAATTTTAGTATGTGGCGTGGGAAGAGCACTTTAATTGTGACACTTTCTTTTTGACAAACTTGAAAATAGTGTGTAAGATCAAGCATGAGGCTGAATAAGTAGAAAACTTCATTTTATTACATACCAGTTCAAGAAGCCAAGATGTCTTCTTCTGTTTGAAATCATGTTGACATTTTAATTTTTTGTACTACAGAAGCACAGAATTTTCGATTTGTAAGAGACTTTAGGGGTGTAATCCATGATTTCACAGAGAAATTAAGAATCGAAGTTTATTGAAGAAGTTTAGCAGGAACTGAATAGAACTAGTTGCCTTAATTAAGGCTTAATTAAGCACTTAGCTAGATAATTCAGATCTTCCCAATGGATACTCCTACCAAAGTTTGTCGTCTTATGTTTTTTCCTCTTGAGTTTTGAGGATCTAAGAGCTTGACCACTGAGCTGTGTCCCTAACTCCCTTGATTATGTTGTTTTAAAACCAAGTAATTACTAAATTTTCTCCCCTCTTTGGATTGAGTATATGTTAGTGATTTAGAGCCATTTGATAAAGTGATACAAATTATAGGTAGTAAATATTTGCATTTTATCAGTTGAAAACATTACTTTATAGTTTACCTTGATTTAAAAAATTATTTTCACCTTAAGAATTCTTATTCATGTTCTTCATTGAGGTAGTCTTTGTCAATCTTAGGACATTGGTATTTCAAGAGTTAAAGAGGGCCTAGGAATGTGGCTCCTGGTAGAGTACTTGCCTAGCATGCATAAAGCCTGGATTAGATTCTGCAGTACCACATAAACAGAAAAAGCCCGAAGTGGTGGGGTCAGGTGGTAGAGTGCTGGCCTTGAACAAAGCTCAGGGACAGTGTTCAGGCCCTAAGTTCAAGCCCCATGATTGGCAAAAAGCAAAGAAGAGTTAAAGAGGGAAGGATATCCAATACAAATGTAATCTAAAATAGCATCTCCAGCATCATTTAAAAACCATGTTTCAAATACAGGAGTTCTGTATTGCTAAGTGGGATGAATTTATTATTATTATTATTATTTCCCCATAGCACAGTACTTGGTATAGGTGCATTTTCCTTGTAGGGGCTTCATGAAAGATGGACCTTATTGATGTGCAACTTTATTGTCAGGTGTCACATATAGCCACAGCTCTGAATGCTTGTGCTCTTGTTGGTGATTGAGTGCCTGTAAGTCCTGAATTGTGGTATAGTTAAGGTTAAAATAGCTTCCTTTTTGAATTGAACCGGATATTGTTAGGTTGAATTCTAATATTGAAAGAGGAAACAGGTATACCCTATTTTAGAAAAATGGAGTAGGAAATTTGGTCTTTAATATTTGTTATCAATCCGTATGACATTAGCAAGTATGAAAATCCCAGTCAGGCTAGAATTACCAGATTTATACTCTATCAAAGTTTGATGGCCATGAATTAATAAATCCTCTAAATGATATTGTAGGCCACATTTTAAAGGTTTGGTTTCACTTTATAAGGATATATTTTTCAGCATGTAGACTTGTAAGGAACATGGCTTTTGGATTCAGAGTACTTTGGCAACTTGTCCTGAAATGATATTTAAAAATTTTAACTCAAGTTGATATGCTGTACTTCATGTTGGTGGTATTTAAAAGATAAAACACAGAGGGTTATCTGTCATTTTATTTTGGGAGTACTGGAGTTTAAACTCAAGGTCTTGTACTTTCTCATCACATGTTCTACCACTTGAGCCACATTGGTAGCTCGTCTTTTCGTTGTTAGGTTTCTCTTGTTTCTTCTTTCTTTAGTAGATTAAAATAATGTTTTTTTTAAACTTTAAAAAAAACAGGAACAATTTTCAAGCTTTTATTTTGGAAAGTACCACCACTTTATCTTTTGAAGAGCTCTGCTAAATTTGGGCATAGCAAATGCAGGGCCAATTCCATAGAAAAATTTCTATTTGAACAGGTAGAGTCATATAGATAGTAGCCCAAAGATGTCTGTCAGGGATATCTTTATACTATATTCACTTTTTCTATTGATACTATTACTGAAGACATTTATATAGTAGCATAGGGTACTGTTTATATGAAACAGTTATCGTATATCTACCCTTGCAATCTCCTTGTCCTACACACAATCAGACCAGTCCCTTCCACCCAGATTGAAAATACATTAAGACATAGGTTGCATGCATTAAGAGTTCATGCCTGTAATCCTAGCTACTCAGGAGGCTGAGATCTGAGAATTTCGGTTTAAAGCCAGCCTAGGCTGGAAAGTCCCTGAGACTTTTATCTCCAATAAACTATTCAGAAAACCGGAAGTGATGCTGTGGCTCAGGTGGTAGAGCGCTATCCTTGAGCTGAAGAGCGCAGAGACAGCGCCTCAGGCCCAGAGTTCAAGCCCCACGACCAAGAAAAGAGAAAGAAAATACATTAAGGATCTTCCCTCCCCACCATACCTCTGTAGCAAAATTGGTGTGGTGTGTTTCTGGTGCTATGAACATTGGTTATTCTCAGGAGTAAGATGTGGCACCATACACTTTTTGTGGTATCTTTTAAAAAAAATTTTGTGAACCTGGAACCTTAAGCTGACTTAAGCACCACAGCAGCATTTCCAGCTCCCTTCCCTGGATATTCTGCCTCCCTCACAGGGAGCTGGGACCTGTTTTTGTTCATAGGTAGATGGTAGAGGTCTTGGCAAGCCAAGATACTGTGATACTGTTCTCTGGATTCACACTCAGCAGTCTGACCCCTTTGATATTGAGAATTAGACTCTGGCTATGACCACTTGAAATATTTTTGAGGGTCAGCCATTTACTTATATCAGGGACTGTAGGACACCCAGGACTTATCTGGTCACTAGTTAGAATCTTTTTCTAACTAGCTTTTAGTTAGGTTATCCATTGCTTAACCGATTATTTTTATCTAGTTTCAGTGGTGTTATTATTTTTAAGTGTTGCATTTTTTGCCCTTGTCTTCTCTCAGTGTTAAGCTCAGGCTTCCTTTATGTATTTTTACAGCATGGTTATTTCCTCTCTTCTAGACTGGTGGAAAACTGAATTTGTCTTGTTCTTGGTGATGTCTTCAACACTGACTGTAGTGCTTGGCACATAGCAGGTGATAAAATATTGACTGCATATACATTAATTGCAGTAGTTGTGTATCAGTGTGGGAAAGCAAAGTTCATAGAGAAATTCAGAATTCATGCAAGAAATTTGGGTATTTCATTGCTATCATTAGTATTAGAGAGTGTGCATTTTAGCTTATAAGCAATCCTATGAAAGATGGCTTTATCAGTCATCTGGCACAAGTTTGATTTCAGAAGAGAATGTGTAAAAATTTCACTTTGTTAAATTGTAAGGCACTGCACATTTCAATTTTTTTCAAGTTTGATGAATTTGTATGTATTATTTTATATTTATTACACATGGAAGTTTTATGGCACTATAAAGAAGTGCGTTTAATGGCTCTATTTTTGTTCATTAGTAATTATATACTAAAGAGTAAATTCTCATTAAAAGGCCCTTAAATGACTGCTCGTAAAATGAGAGACTTCTTTGATTTTGTTCAACATACAATCCTAGTTATTGTATTGAGGCAAGTCATGAAACTCTTTAGTAGTCTAAACCTTTAATTTGGTTTCAGAACAGTAGTCGTGTATTGAACACCCAAATTACCGTGTCTTTAACAAGTAATGCAAACACTGTGTATTAAAAAGGTAATGACCATAACTTTTCTTGTAGACTTTCTTGTACTAATTTTTTAAAGAAGGCTTTTGAACTAAATTTCCCTTGCAGGCCAAAGTCTTATACATTTAATGATAGTGAAGTATATGTGTTTGTGTAGAAAGGAAAGAGTGGTAATTTTGTAGCAGTATTTTAAAAAGTGGACAGTTTACTAATTATGTTGGGGTAAACACTTTAAAACTCTGAAGAGAAACTTCAATTATCTGAATGAAATGAAGTACATGAAATTAATTTATGTAAGTGAAGAAATCCTTAATGTAAATGATGCATGTCAAGGGACATGACCTTAATCTTGATTTTTTTCCCCCCATATATATATATATGTATATATATATGTATATCTCATGTATATATCTGTCAGCTGCTTTCACATTACTAGATTGTGATACTTTTATTCATTCTAGGACTCAATGATGGGAAAAGGTGATCATTGCTGTATAGTCTTCCCTCTCTTTAAAACAGAGGAATAAGGAAGAATTCAGAGTAGTATTTTGTGACAGGAATTATCACTTATTTGTGCTTTGTACTTTCTGCTGTTGTAGATGGTACACCACTGCCTTCCATTTTGTCATTTTCTTGTAAAAGATGTGTGGGAACTACTTGATAATATGATTTGATTGAAAACTGCATTTTCCCTCACCAATCTTAAATTTATGTCCTAAAATTTGAGTTTCAGCAGGTTGCAAGGATCATTTGAGCTAGATAAGAATCCTGATTCCTTTCAGCTTCATCTCTTTAGTGTTTCATATTAAGCAGCCATCTTATAGTGTAAATCCTTAAAACAGAGACAAACATCAGGGGATAAACCCTAATCTTTGTAGGCCCTAACTCCAAATGGAAATTTTACTGCTTGATTGCACTATAGGAGAATGATTTCTGGTAGAGTTAACTAAGGTTTACAAAATTTTCTGGTATCTCAAAGTTGTTAGGTAATTTGTACTCAGCCTCTGTTGTCTTTAGGCTATTTATTATTATTTTTTTAATTTTAAAATTTATTGTCAAGGTGATATACAGAAGGGTTACAGTTACATAAATAAGGTAGTGAATACATTTCTTGTCTAACTTGTTACCGCTTCCCTCATTTTTCTCCCTCGTTCCCTCCCCTCCAACTCCCCCCCCCCCCACAAGTTGTACAGATCATTTCCAACATGTTGTCTTGTGAGTATTACTGTTGCATAGGTTCCTTCTTTGTCCTTTGTCTCACCATTTTGTTGTTCCCCTTCCTTTACCTAGTTCAGATAAACATATATACAATACCCAGGGTACCAAAATCAAATGCAGTGACAACAGGGGATAAACCATAGGGGCAAAAACACAAAGGAAAAAAGTAATCACATAGTACATAGGCTATTTATTTTTAAAGGAGATAAGCTTGTTTCAGCCATGGAAATGAGTACTGACACTTCTGTAAGTGAATTTACTTTGTGTGTGTGTGTTCTGGGATTTGTACTCCCTCACTTTGCTTTTTGCTTTAAGGCTGGCACTCTACCACTTGATCCACACCTCTGCATCCAGCTTTTTGGTGTTTACTTGGAGAAAAGAGTCACATGGATTTTTTTTCTGCCTTGGCTGGCTTTGAATTTCAATTCTTAGATCTCAGCCTTCTGAGTAACTAGGATTACAGGCATGAGCCACCAATGTCCCCAAATTTTACTTCATTCTTTAGCCTTATCTTTATATGAAGCACCTGAGAGCATGTCTTTATTTTTAGGGTGCACCAGTTAGCTTCCTTTTCTTCTGTTGCTTTTTTAGATGCAAGATGAGTCATATCTTGAATGTCTTGGTTAGAGAGTAGTAGCAGCAAGCCCTCTACCCAGACCTGTTTGCAATTGCTAGGTCATTGCCTGAGGCCTTCATAAATATATGTAGACAGTATGACTGACTGAGAATTTTGGACTTGATGGTCAATTCAGACTGATTTTGATTCTTTTTTTTTTCTGCAGTAGTGGGATTTAAACTCAGGGCCTGGGTGCTGTCACTGAGCTCTTTTGGACAAGAATAGAGCTCTTCCACTTTGAGCCACAGTGCCATTTCTGATTTTTGAGTGGTTAATTGGATATAAGTGTCTCTCTGCCTGGCTTTGAACCATGGTACTTAGATCTCAGCCTCTTGAGTAGCCTAGGACTATAGGTGTGAGCTACTGATGCCCAGCTTTGATTTAGATTCTTTATGATTTATGATCAGCATGCCTTTAGGAAAGTTAGTTGCTTAACATTTCTGTGTTTCAGATGTCTCATCTATCAAGTGGGTTGATATGATTTGGCAGTGTTAAGTGTTTTTTCATAAATAACAATTTATAATTTGTTGTCATATTCAAATAGCATGATGAACACGTGGATTATTTTAAATGGAAATAGGTTTTGTTCCATTTGAAGACAGATGTAATAAGTTAGTCATAATCTTTCAAAATAGAGGTCTTACTTGCTTGACTTTAAATCTATGTAAGACTTCTGTAGCCTCTCTTTATTGATATGTAAGTGATACTGATATGTAATACAGAAAGTCAAAATATATAGTTTCTATATTGGATGTTGAATGTTCCCCAGAGGGAAATATTTTAAAGGCTTTGTCTCCAAAGTGGTGCTTTTGGGAGGTGCTGTAGACCTTTTAGGAAGTGAGGTCCAGTGAGAGATTTTAAGGTCACTTGGAGCATGGCTTCAAAAGGGATTATGGGACTCTAGTCTCATCTTTTCTTTGCTTACTGGCTGGAGATATGAGCACTTATTCCTAAACACTCTCCTCTCCAGAAGCCCAAACCATGGAGCTACCTGATCTTGTATTGAACTTTCTAAACTATAAGATAATTAAGCCTGATTTTCTTCTTAAGTAATAACCTGTCTCAGGCATTCTATTTGTAGTGATAGGAAGCTGAATTAACGCAGTAGTTTACTCTGAAGTCAGATAGACTTGGATATGTATAGAAAATCTACTCTCCATTTGAGTAATCTAGGGCAGGGTGCTGTAGCTCATCAATTCGATGTTTTCATCTGTAATAAAGATAATAAAGAATAATGAAGTTAAAAATTATAATAAAAAGTTCTCAGGACTTAAGTTAGCTTTGAAAATTACTTAGTAATATCTGAACCCAATAAATACTGGTAGTTGCTATAGTGATATTGGACAGATAACTTCCCTTCTCTCTACCATAGAGTTTCATTTATTGTATAACAGCTAGTGAATAAGATTATCAAGAGCTTTAAATGAGCTAATACAGGTATAAGTCTACTAAATGCTTATTTCTATTGTTATTTATGTTATTTTAATTCAGCTTCAGAACAAATCAGAACAATTTTCAGTTCAAATTTAAAGAATTCATGCAGGTATTTGGTAGATTTGTTATGTGGAGGGTTTTATTATGGAGTTTTGGATGGCAAGTTGTTTGTAACTTTTTGTGTTTCCTTAAGATAGTAATTTTTAAATGGTGTTATGTCAGTGGGACCCTTTTTGTGAGGTCCATAAAAATAAAACTATTGTCATAGTAGTATAACTTTTTGAATTGAGAGGCAGGCATGAGAATCTGTTTGTCTCTTATTAAGATAAACATGGAAGATATTTGAAAAAATATTTGTATCATTTCTCTTCTTAGTGTTCTATTTTATTTTGGAAAGTAATTTTTCATAAAATGTAAAATCTGTCTTATTAAATACATAGTTTGCTACTTGTAAAAATGGGTTAAAATACTTAAAAGATTCTTACCAGTTACTGATATGGCAAACATTGGTGATTATAGCCCACACAAACAAATATCAATGACTTATAAGAGTGCAAAGGAGTCATTTTACAGTATTAAGAAATTTGAGAACTGTTTCTTTAAGGACTTGAGACTAGACGGATGGAATGAGTTGAGTTTTAAAGGTGTAGTGTTTTAAATTCTTTTGGAATTTGGCATGTGTGCTTTCCTAGTTGTAAGCATATGTCAATGGACTTCTTGAACATTTTCTAAATAGGTTTTTTTTTTTTTGTCAGTCATGGGGCCTGAATTCTGGGCCTGGGTGCTGTCCCTCACCTCTTCAAGCTAAAGGCTATCTCCCTACCACTTGAGCCACAGTGCTACTTTTTCTGCTCATGTGGTGCTGAGGAATTGGACCCAGGGCCTCATGCATAAGAGGCAAGCACTCTACCACCGAGCCAACTTCCCAGCCCCTCTAAATAGGGTTTTTAACTAGGATTTCTAAATATGGTTTTGGCATGTCTTTTAAGATTTGTATTTTAAGATTCATGCTACCTATATGACTACTACTCAAAACTAAGATGTAGTTAATAGTTGTTAATAGTCAACTTCTTCCTGCTTGATATCACTCTGGTTATGAGCTTTATATGAAGTAATTATCAAGAGACACTTGGGCCCTCTTGATGGGTGATTAGTGGTAGAGAACATTCAGATAAGGCAGGTATAGAAACATGGGACCACTAGTAACAGCAGAGGGATGAAAGAGAAGGGCTGTTAGGCAGTGCTTGGGGATAATATGGGGCAGATGCTAAAAAAATAAGACATACTTTACTTTGGGTATTTTTAGGCACAGAAGTTTTACTTTGTTGTGTTGTTGTATTTGGTATTGAAGTGTGCTCAACCAACAGAATGACAAACTAATTGGGAAGGTTGACCTCATCTTGGGCCAGTGGTTTGAAGGTAAAAAAGAAAGTAGTAAATTCTAGGGCATTGATGATTAAGGGGAGTAGTTGAGGCCAGAAAGTGTTGAAATTGCAGTCCCAAAAGTAAATTTATTCCCCAAATTCTCATTACAGGGTGACTGTTAAAACCCGGGTAGAGGGCTGGGAAGGTGGCTCAGTGGTAGAGTGCTTGTCTTGCATGCATAAGGCCCTGGGTTTGATTCCTCAGCACCACATAATCAGAAAAAGCTGGAAATGGAGCTATGGCTCAAGTGGTAGAGCGCTAGCCTTGAGCGGAAGAGCTTAGGGACAGCGCCCAGGTCCAGAGTTCAGGCCCCATGACGGCCAAAAAAGCAAAACCAAAAAAAAACCCCTAAAACAAAAACCTGGCTAGAAGTGACAGCAAGCAAAGGTATATAAAAAATGCTGCTGATCTCTGGCAGGAAATATGGACCTTTAAAATGAGTATCCAATATAGCAAGCCCATTCTGGAGAACAGTTCATACAAAATCAGCATTGTAGAACCAGGAGATGTGGACATGGAAGAGGCCATTGTTGAAGAACTGGAATTTAACTTGAAGTTTAGTTCTTTACCTTTTCCTGTCTAAGGTCAGTATTAATCCCTTGGAATGAGGCAAGGCTGAGCCAGGTATTAGAACAAATTAACTATTGCTGTTTGCATTGGAGAGGCAGAGATGGCCTAAAATGTATTTGTTAATTGAATGGATAGGAAAGTAAGTCAGGAGCACAGTTGTGTCTTTATGGTCATTCCTTTTCAGTTCTTTATGCAATAGACTTTAGGTATCGTAATTTACCCATCAAAATACTCTTTAAGTAAGTTGACAGATTTTTTTCTTTTCCAAGAACAAATTTTAGGGTTATGTGTCAGGTATCCCTGCCCCTGTTATACTATTGAAGTTGGTTACTGCAGCATGAAAACAGCTATAGAAAATATATAAATGAAGTTTTGTGGCTGTGTTCCAATAATGCTTTATTGTAAAGATGGACATTTGAATTTCAACTGTTTTCATTTGTCAGAACATAAAACTTTTTGAAAAAATTTTCCAATAATTTAAAAATTATAAACCTATTTTCAGCCAGGCGCTGGTGGCTCATGCCTGTAATCCTAGCTACTTAGGAGGCTGAGATACATACCTGTTTTTAGATCATAACTGTGTAAGAATAGGATTTTAGCCTGTGGGCTCAGTGTTTGCTGACCCTTGTTTAGTAAATAAATTTCAGGAATGCTGTAGAAAGTTTAGCAGTATTGAAATAGATCTCTCAAGGCCTGTTGGTGATACTGTCTTGTTTTGTAGGTGACACTGATGATAAAAATCCGTTCAAGAATTTAGATGTGACATCTGCAGCAGGTTCAGATCTCTCAGCTATAAGACAGACTGGATACTTCATAAGGATTGTCACCTATTGTGCATAGAGAGTCAAAATTCATTACTGAAATTGCCTGGGTTTGCTGCCTGCTGGGTCCAGTGATGCACCTAGTATACAAAGAAGTTGAAAGAGAAGTCTTGCATATTCTTTGGAGGACTGGCAGAGTATAACATCATTGTGGATCAAGCCTTACCGAGGCTTTACAAGGACGTTATGACTAAAACAAAATGGAAAAAAATGGTAATAGTGATTGGTGTGAAGTAAATTTGAGTTTACTTGGGAAATGTATATTGCATTATCATTCCATAATGATATATAGTAATTGCCTTGTTAATCGAACTTTAAAGATCCTGTCTTTATTCATGGAACTTGTGTAGCTATTACCTTTTAGAATTGGCTTCTCTTTAAGGGAAATGCAATGAAGAATAACAGCTGTTTACTAACTAGGTTAATTTAAGGAATATGATTTTTTACATAGAAGTTTTTGCTTGTGCATCTACAGATTCTGTTCTCATGTCGAATATTTAAATGTACTGTATTTGTATTTGTCAAAACCTACTTAGAGAATTTTCTAGGAAAACATCATTTTGGATACACTTATACCCAGTAGCAAGTAGAAAATAGTGTTCAAAGAAGAGTTGAATTCATACATTAGTATTTTCAGACCGGTTAGTCAAATTCATTTAAATGATTTATTAAGAAATTATGCATTGGACTAAAACTATTTAAGTACAAAGAAGTTTCAATTCAATGTCAGTTTATTAATTCAGTGCATCATGATTAATGTCACCTCAAACTATGTGCCTTTAAAATGAGTTATTGTATCATCACAAACCTTAGAACATCAAAGTATTTTCTTAATCATATAAATATTTGGCTGATAGTTCCTGCTTTTGGTGTACAGCTATTTATACCATTAATAGAGGATTTGAAATCAGTACTGGGAAATGAGATTAGTAGCTTCTCCCCAAGTTGAATCTTTTTCTTTCTTTTTTTTTTTTTGCGGTGAATTGACACTTCTTTTTTATTGTAACTCTTCACAAACTCTTTAATAGGCTAGTATATACAATCTAGGTTATGTTTTATATAGCTTGTGCAGCTCATCTATGATCAAAAAGTTTCTTGATGACTTACCTTAAAATCTTTGTTAAAGATTTCAATTTGTTATTCAATTTGTTACTGTGCTACTGCCATGATTGCAGGCTTTTTAGAGTGTAGTGCAGCCACCATGGCCATCCTTCTAGGAAAAAGATCTGTAGTTTGATCTCTAGTGGAAGTTGCACGCCTGTATTTTGCTAGTTAGATTTCAGATCATAATCATGATAGCTTTCTATTGATTTGATTTTTTGGCTTTTAAGCTATCTAAAAAATAATTTCCATTGAAGCCTGTAAAAGAAACACGGGTGTGTTGAGACATTGAATCTCTGAAACTTGAATATGGAAGGAAAGGGATGCTCTTGAAAGTGCTTCAATCCTAGAACTCGGAGGGATTTTGAGTCAAAATTCTTTGTCATTCATTTATTATGCTTAATTGAACTGACTGAATTGTATTTGGGATTACTATTAATGTTTGGGTAATTGCTATTTTCAAATGTAAGTTTTGTTAGGAATGACTTTTATACCTTATAGACAATTATATTTTATAAGAAGTATAAATTGAACTGTGATAGTCTATTCAAATTGAGAAGTCTGTTGTAGCCTTTAAAAGCCTTTTCTAAGGTAGAAGGAACAATAAGTAAATAGAGCATTGTAGACATTGTTAAAAATCTTTTCCTTCTAAGGTAAACTCTTTTCAAAATACAATAATTTAGAAAAATATATAAGTGTAGTTTGATAGGTTATGGTTAATTTAATTTACCTGTCCATATTGAAGTTGAGAACCATCTCAAAAGTAAATATTAAAATAATTCATGGCAGAATTCAACTTGAGAACATAATTGTGGAAAAGTATCAGTCTTAAATCTTTGAGATAATTCTTGAGCTAGTAACTGAATTATTGAATAAAATCAAGAAAAGAAAATAAGTGTTTAAAACTAACTGTGTATCAATAGTCAAAAGAGTTTTAGTTTTATCTTGTCCCACTACATTGTGTGGTGAATTGTAATGAATTGCTTTCTGAAGTGACAGAGCATTTAGAATTAAAGGATGTTCAGGATTGGTCAGTTACATTCTTTATTTCACCAACTCTGGTTTACAGAGTATTTAGTTATCATACTTATAGGAGATGGGAAAGACAATGGTTCTAACTTTTGTGGAATTCATGACGGATTCAAGATGACTGTCAGTAATATGACAACAATGAAAAATCTGACGAATGTACATGGACTGTTTATTGAAAGTGTTCTATGCAAGACATTAAGTAAGACATTGTGCAAGTTATTTCCTATCTCAACTTGATACGGGTATTAGAAGTTATATGGTTATATCCAGTCTTTGAGGAAGAAGTGAAATAGTCCTATAACTCGTGGCTCCTCTTGTGCAAAGGCTTTTTCTGTCAGGCAGTTTTCTGATAAAGGAAGAAATAAAAAAGTAATTACAAAGGCCATCAGGTATTATGGGCAAAAATAAGGATTAATAGCTTTTAACATGAATGACTTTATGTTGGCATAGAATGACAAAGCCTTCTTGAAATGAAGTGATAAATGAAGTGATTTTATATATATATATATATAATATTTATATTTGTAATTCCTTCCTGAATCTGGACTTGAACTCAGATATGTTAATAGATTTCCTTTGCTACTGTAGTAGTATCTATGTTTTCGTGAAAATGAGCTTCACAGATGTGAATACATATCATAAACAGAGTTGGCTAACTCCATATAGAATATGTGAAAAAGTACTGTGTTTGAAGAAGTAATGAAAGGCAATTGAATCATTAACCCCATTAAATTTAGTTCACTTGATCAGTTTTCTTGTTTAATAGGAACTTAGTTGAGCAAAGCTTTAGTGGGTGCTTAGAACAGAATACATTAAGATACTAGATTAGGCATTTCATGGAAGAAAAGATGTTTATGACATTGTTCTTCTTGGAGCATCTGCTTTGTTGCAAATATTTAAAAGTTTATCCAGGGTAGAATTGATGGTACTGTACAGCTTTAAATGGCAGTGTTGTGGGATATGGAAAGAATCCTATATGTCATTGGGCTTCATGGTAGGCTATGAGGTAGAGGCCAAGTTTGAGATGAACCTTGCAAAAAGGAGAATCATGGAAATGGCATTGTGGCTCAAGTGGTAGAATGCTAGCCTTGAGCAAAAGAAGCAGCACCCAGACCTTGAGTTTAAATCCCTGGACCAGCAAAATTAAATAAATAAATAAATAAATAAATGAAAAAGGGAGGAGATTCAGTGGGAAGATAGTCATTCACTTTCAGTACAAGGGATAATCAAAGGTATGGAAAGAAGTAATTGTTATTCACACTAGATAGATAAAACTTTTCTTCTTAAAAAATTGTTTTAAAGCTGGGCGCCGGTGGCTCACGCCTATAATCCTAGCTACTCAGAAGGCTGAGGTCTGAGGATCGAGGTTCAAAGCCAGCCAGGGCAGGAAACTCCGTGAGACTCTTATCTCCAATAAAACACTAGAAAACTGGAAGTGGCACTGTGGGTCAAGTGGTAGAGGACTCGCTTTGAGCTGAAGAGTGCAGGGACAGCACCCAGGCCCAGAGTTCAAGTCCCACAACCGACCAAAAAAAATATTTTGTTTTAAGTACCAGTTAAGCATTATTATGCATGTTTTAATTACAGTAGATGGTTTGTAAGACAGGCCCACAAGATAAAGGCTAGTATTAAACTCTTAGTCTTGGTACCTCCACTTTCCAAGGGCTATGTTTACAGGCATGTACTATCACACTTTGCAGAATTAATTATTGTAATAAGTGTCTCTTGTGAATTTCTTTGTTAATGTAACGTCTTCTTTCATCAGGTATGGTTTCCATTATAAAGTTAGAAACTTTACTCAGCTTAGATATTGGATGATTATAAACATCAAAACTGAACTAACTCTGGGGCTTGAACTCAGGGCCTCGGTGTTGTCCTTGAGTTTTTTTTTGCTCAGAGCTAATACTCTACCTAACTTAAGTCATAGTTACACTTCAAGCTTACTTTGGTGGCTTATCAGAGATAAGAGTCTCACAGACTTTCCTGCTTAGGCTGGCTTTGAACTGAGATTCTCAGATCTCAGCCTACTGAGTAGCTAGGATTACAGGGGTGAGACACTGAAAACTAGCTTGAGAAAAGACAATGATTTTTTACAAATGATCCTAAAAAGCATTTGGCATTAGTTTCATAACAAGTGATAGTTCTTTTTTTAAAAACTGTCCCAGAATAAGAATGATTATCTTAGCCGGGTGTTTATGGCTCCTGCCTTTAATCCTAGCTACTAAGAAGGCTGAGATCTGAGGATCATGGTTCCAAGCCAGCCCAGGCAGAAAAGTCCATGAGACTCTTATCTCCAATAAACTATTCATAAAAAGCTGGAAATGGTGCTGTGGCCCAAATGGTAGAGCACTAGTCTTGAGCAAAAGAAGCTCAGAGACAGCGCCTAGGCCCAGAGTTTAAGGCCCAGCATGATTGAAAAAACAAAACAAAGAAAAGAATGACTATCTTGATGATAGTGTCACCTTTACAGAGCTGTAGCTCCAGGAATGTGTTTGTTCATGTTATTATCTTAAATCTATCTATCCATATTGTTGTAATTCAAATGTGAAAGTAAAAATAATGGTGTGAAGTACCTAGCAGAATTTATGGATTTATATGTTATATGAACCAGAAAACACACATCTATTAGTCTCTGTGCTAATGCTCAGTTGTATTAAGTTCAAACATCAAATATTGCCTAGAAGTTTTTCACACACATACATGTACACATATGTGTATATATACCTCATAATTCCCTATGGGCTTACATTGTAAAAAATTGTTTTTTTTTTTCTGAACTCCAGATACATATCAAGTTGTCTTTAGACAGTTCCAAATTCCACAGGTTTTTTTTTTTTTTTTTTTAATACAGTTGTGGGGCTTGAACTCTGGGCTTGGGAGCTAACCCTCAGCTCTTCAGCTCAAGGTGAGCGCTCTACGGCTTGAGCCACATTACCACTCCCAGTTTTTTTTTATTGGAGATAAGAGTTTCACAGACTTTCCTGCCGGGGCTAGCTTTGAACCCTGATACTCAGATCTCATCCTCCTGGATAGCTAGGATTACAGGCATGAGCCACTGACGCCCAGGCTCTACAATTTTT